GGCTCTTTAGAGAAGATGTTTGATTGAAAACTTCCCCTGAACCCTCCTTTGGAAGGCAGGAGAAGGGTAATGTACTGCATTTCTTTTTAAATTGTTGCTTAGAAAGTTTTTTTTTAAAAGTGCTGTCCAAGCATCACTGATTCACTGCATCGTTTCCCATTTCTCAGTGAGAAATCTTCTCTTAACAAATGAGTAGCTTTTCTTCTGTTGAAAAATGGCAAGCTCTCTCTTTAAATTCTCCCTTTGGAGAGGAAAGGGGGGGAAAAACCCTCCCCATAATGATTACTAAACAATGCACTGAATCAGCCATGCTTTGACAGCACTTAACAGGAAAAGAAAAAGCTTTAGTGGCAATTAAAATGAAATACAAAGGAGAAATTAAGTTTTTAATTAAGCAGCTTCTCCAAAGGGACAGCCAGACAGCCGCTTGGGTTTGATTCCAGCCATCCTACCCACATGTAAAAAAAAGGCACATTAAAAAAAAAATAAGACAGGCACCCGGAAAGTTGTGAGCAGGAATGCTTCTGGGATTGGCTAGTTCCAGGGATGTTGACAAGTCTTTGGGACCAAGTCTGAGCCTTTGGTCCCAAGACCCAAGTCCGAGACCTTATTAAAAACAAGCTTCCCCCTGCAGAAAACAGGGAGGGGCGGGCAGGTTCTGAGTTGTAAACTGAGTGCGAGTTCTTGGGGGGGGGGGAACAGAAACAGAACCCAAATTGAGTCACTGGTGTGGCGTAAGTTTGACCAATGACTCTCACAACTGGAGCCACCATTCCTGGCTAGTTCATTCTAGCAATTATGACTTTTTTTAAGCTTGGGAAAAAAAGCTGCATTGGAGCGCCTAGAAGACCAAGTGGAAAATCAAAAAAAGAACTAGAGAAAGAGACAGGAGGAAATCGGCAATCAGCCCTTGTTTCCAGCTTGTTAAGGCAACAATGGTGCCTTCTGCAAACGTGAACCACAATAGCAGAATCTACCTTAAGAAGCTGCAAACAAGGGCTGGACAGCAATTTCCACCTCCGTTTCTGCTGATTCCCATTTGGGCAGCCAAAGCCAACTTCCCAGGGATGAATTCACAGCAGATTAATGCACACCCCGTCTCCTGTGTCGTCTTCCTCTTCTTGTCTCCTTCCCTTTATCTCTCTTCTTTCTTCTCCCATCTCCCCTTGACCTACCTCAGAGTTGTTGCGAGGATAAAGCAAAGCAGAACAATGAATCTGAGCCCTTTGGAGGGAAGATGAGATTTAAATGTGATGAGCTAATGAGCAAAATAAATTAATCTCCTTCCTCTATGACTATTCCCCTTCTCTTGTCCTCTCTTTCTCTCTTTTATTTTTATTACGCTTTTAAGGCTGACAGCGACTCCTACATCATTCTCTCTTTTTCTAAACTGAGGTCAGCTCCTCCGTGGTAGTCTGAAACGCAGGAGAGCAATAGAAGAAAAGGATAAAATCGCCAGTAAATATGTTTTGATATAAGCAGCCTCTTGAGGTTCCCAGCGATCGGCAGTCGCCATGAGAACAAGGAAGGAAAATCACAACAGGCTGGAGAGACTTTGGGAATCTCTCTGTGGGGTTTGTTTGGATTTTCAGCTCGAGTTCCTTTCCTATCTGCAAATAAATTCCCCTCTCATGGGAAGAGAAATGTGGTTTGATTAGATATGGCCCATCAAATGTCCCCATCCTCCTCCACAATGTTTGGGGTGAGGTGGGGTGAGCAAAATCAATGAAAAAGAGAAGATAAAATAAAATAAGCAAAGGGGTTATTTTAAACGGGACTGGGTCACCATAGCAGGGAAGTACAGTATTTTATTCTGTTCAGGTGGTGAGTTCAAACACCAAGTGCCGTTCAAGGAGAATTTGCAGGAAGAAGGCAGAGTTTTGAAGGGTTGTAAGGGCTGGTGGAAACATTTTGCTGTCCTGAAAACAGAAATCCCGTTGGCGTACGTTTACACCGCGCAACCGGGAGGATGTCAACCTCCGTCAACACAAATCTTGAAATGACTTATCCTCCACCTTCAGCTTCTGAGGCTCCTGGAGAGGGAAGGAGGTGAAGGCTTTCACACACACAAAATTAAAAAAATAAGTAAAATCATCCTCATCTTAGAGCCGGAAGGGATCGTATGGATCATGGAGACCAACCCCTGTCAAAAGACGCCCAGTGGGGGAATCGAACTTGCAACCGATGCTTGAACCACTGAGCTCTCTTGCAGCCCATGTCAGTTCTGGTTTTTGGGATTGGCTATTTAGGGCATTTTAAAGTGTGGCACCGAAGCAGAGAATATAAAAACGGATAATGGCAGCCATGGGCTCAGCCGGACGCACAAGGGCCATTTTGACGTGATAGGCGGGGTCCGTGGGCGGCTGCGGTAGACCCCGGATGATCCGACAGGCTTCACAGTTTCCACTTCTGGCCGAGGCCAACCAGAAGAAACACTTTTTTTTTCTGCAAAGGGCCCTATTTCTTATGGATGGGGGGAAACTGTGCTCTTCTGAGGGCCATCCTCTGGACCTGGAAAGACCCAGAAGGGCCAAATCCATTTTCTTTCACGACCCTTCTAGTGAGAGGTTGACACCGATCCTTTGCAGGTCCTTTTATCCCAGTTCATTTGCTATGTTTACCTCCCAGCTTTCCTCAAGGAAGCCTATCGGGAGCTTGCCGTCACCCGGCAGGAACATCACCAAGAAGGCTGTCGGCCACGGATCTGTGGCTCGGGAGGTTGGCCAGCCCTCCCCAGGTCTCGCCAGCTCCATGGACGAACGGTGAGGTCCTCTCACAAGGACTGAAGTCTCCATGGTCACACCCGCAAATATTGGGACAACCAACTTCTGTTGATTATTTGCACCTCAGGCACCCCTTAAGGCCAAGCCTCCGCTCTGGTGTGGTGGGAGTTGCAGGGGAGACCTCATACTCTCGCAAACGGGGCAACACACTTTCACTAAACACAATGGGGAGTTTCCTGAGCGTCTGCAAATCTTTTAGCTTCACTGCCGACCACTGCAGATCCATTGAGTCAGTTGCTGGAGAGTCAGCATTTCTATTTTTTTCCTTTTTTCCCCCTTATTTGTTTATTATTGGATATGTTCTGAATATTTGTAATTTTTATGTTTTATTTTAAATATTTTATATACTTATTGGAAGCTGCCCAGAGTTGTCGACCAGACCAGATGGGCGGGATATAAGTCAAATAAATAAATAAATATAAACCCAACTGATTCAGAAATGTGTGACAGAGTGGGGAACGCAGCTGGGACACACTGTCCCAAGAGATCGACAGCATATTCCCAGTAGGACTTTTTTGGTGGTGGTGGTGGTGGGGAACCTAGTCCATGTGTAAACTACTGAGAGAAAACGACGCTCCGTGTCATTTTTCAGCACGCCATGCGGTTACGAAGCCGGAGCGGCACATTCTGGTTGGAAGCTGGTTCCGTTCAAGAAAGATGATGGAATTTACCATTGGTTCAGGGAACCAAACCCTGTGAAGGAAATCGAGCCCCAGGAGGAAAGGCTTGAAGGAATTGGGCAGGTTTAGCCCTGAGGAAAAAAAAAGCCTGAGGGGAGATAAAGTGACAGCACTTTTCAAAGATTCGAAAGAGAGTCATCCAGAGGAGGGGCAGGATCTGTTCTCAGTCATCCCAGAGTGCAAGACACATAAAAATGGGCTCAAGTGACAGGAAGCCAGATTTCAGCTGTGTATCAGCAAAAACTTCCTAACTGTTAGAGCAGTACGACAACGGGACCCATGACCTTGAGAGGCGGTGAGCGCTCATTGAACCACCCTCGGTCACAGATGCTTTGATTTGGATTCCTGCCTTGAGCAGGGGTTCAGACACAATGTCCTAGGAGGCCTCTCCCCACTCCATGATTCCACGATTCTATAAAACCCACAAACGCTCACCGATGTAATCCTAACCCTAGCCTTTCTGCCAGGAAGCCGATCAATGTAAGTTTTATTTTTAAATCGTCCCGGATCAGCTTCGACTCCAGGGAGGGAGTCCTTAACTCTCCATCCTTAACCTTGCAACAGACAAGCCAATGCAATAACTTCAGCAGGAATGGTTCTATCTCCGAGTGGCTGTTTCCCTGGTGGAATCCAATGCAGAGTTGCAGTTTCGGGAGGAATTGGGTTAAAGCTGAAAGACTATAAAGAGGCTGGAAGCTCCCCCTTTTTCCTAGCTCTCAACCGTGCCCTCAGCTGAGGAAAGATGGCCTGTATGCCCTCCTGACTGAAGAGATCTTTGGTTAGCCAAGAGGTCTTCCAGAAGCCCAGCAAATTCGCCCCCAGGATGACCACTCATTGGTGCCCCTGGTCTCAGGAGATGATTGTCGGAAAGTCAGCTTGAACCCCAGGTGGGAAATCTTGCGGTTTTTGAGTTTCTGGCTGAGACAGGCTGACTCCCTGTGGCAACACAGCAGCACAAAGATTGTCTAAGTCCCTGGAGGATTGTGGCACAAGATGCCAAAACAGAAGGGGTTTTGTTTTGGTTTTTTTGCCACGATATATGCAGAACATGATGTCCAGAACATGTCTGTCTCTGCTTGAAACTTGTTTCCTTTTCTGGAGCCAAGGGGGGCACATTGCAGGAACAACGCGGCAGAGTCATTTATCCAGAAGACGGAAACTGCCCCGCCAAGTGACTACCTTTTATCCGTTTGTGGCGAAAAGATCACGGCCGTCTCCAGCCATGCTCGTAAAACCACTTGGTGGGTGCGTGGCTCCTCCACCCAAAGACCCCCTCAGAGGAAATGTCGGCCTCTGCCCTGCCTGTGTCCAAGGAGCCCCTCAGGCCTGTTCGGGTGAAGGGGAGTTTGGGTGAAGACGCCCAACTTTCCACATCGGGGCAGGGCTGAGCCCCAGGAAAGTTACCCACCAGGACTGAGCCCTGTGGCTCTTCACAGCGGCCTCCCGTTGGCCCACTGGAGCCACGGAGAGGGGTGGCACATAGCCCCCTCCCCAGCCTCACCAAAGACGGCTCGCAGTTCACCCGCCCCCCCCCTACCTTGACGCGGCCGATGTTCGCCCCACTCATGCTCCCGCTGCGGTCAACGAGGAAGATGAATTCTCCCTGGGTGTTCCGGAGGTTCGGCCGGTTGGTCCTCAAGTCGGGACAGAAATTCAGCATAACCACCGGGTGGTGAGGGAGGTCCTTGTGAAGGCGCTTCCGAATAATTTCTGTCTGCAACCACGAGGAACAAGAAAACAGACCCAGCCATTAAATAGAAAATAGACCAAAAAAACTTGCTTTTGGTGCGCGATGGCTTGTGATTCATCTCGACGGCCATACCTGAAATGGAACTTTTGCAACTGGGGCAGAGTTTGACTTGTATGGACCCTGGCATTTTCCCTGCCTTATTTCAGTTCCATCTTACCAGGGGCTCCCATGCCAGCCGTGGGAATGGCCAGAACCCTAAATCAATGGAGTTACCAATCTAATCACCACCATCATCCTCTTAGAACAGCAGAGCTGGAAGGGACCCAATGGATCATGGATTCCAGCCCCTGTTGAGGAGGCGCCGTGGGGGAATCGAACTCCCAACCTCTGGCTTCGCAGCCAAAGACCTCAACCTCTGAGCTATCTGGCAGCTCAATTTGAGGGGGGTGAGTAGACAGCCCAATTCTACCCTTGGTAGGTCTAGATTGTGCTAAACAGGGCCATTACGAGGCGTGGTGTATCATGACGGGCAACCCTTGCATCCACATACAAGGACTAATCTCACCACACCTCAAGCAACCCTCTTTAGCATGATCTGCACTAATCATCCTATCCCTTAAGGCGAATAAATGCCCCTCCTGCCTTCTCCTCAGGGCTTCGGTTCATCCACGTAACAGTCTTGAGAAAGACATGAGAGCAGTCCCCCAAGATCTGAAGGGTTGCCCCAGGGAAGAGGGCATCGGCGGATTCTCCATGGCGCCCGAGGGGAGGACAAGAACCCACGGGTGGAAATTTGTCAGAGGGAGATTACTTCCAACCTGGAAATAAGGAGGCATTTCCCAATGGTGAGAATCATGAAGCAGTGGAATAGCTTGGCTGGAGGTTTTCAAGAAAAGATGGGACAGCCATCTGCCCGGGATGGGAGGAGGTCTCCTGCTTTGGGCTCCAGGGGGTTTGACTAGAAGACCTCCAAGGTCCCTTCCAACCCTACGATGAGTCTATGAAACGGGAAGCTTTCCTTCTGCCCTCCCGTGGAAGGAAAGTTTGCTATTTCTTTTTAATGGTTGCTAACCCAAACCATGCATCAGCAGGAGTTTCGAAGGGTCCTTTTTCGAAGCATCCATCGGAAAGGATTAACTAGAAAGAAATGCAAAGTTTCCTCTCCCTTCTCCTCTGTAGGCAAGTGGCCAGGTAGCCTTTTCATTTCTAAAGCTCGTTAATCAGCTTCAGCACAGAGAGAGCCAGGCAGCCCCTTTGGTTCAATTCCAATGATCACACACGCAAGGAACAGAACCAAAGCAGAGCAATTATACCTGTACCAAAACAGCATTAACTTGGACAAGGTTTCCTGGGTCCGCTGTGGTTTGGAGAAGCCGTCAGAAGGACAAACTAAGTAACATCCAGAGTCTGAAAGGGGTTGGAAGAGCAGCTTCCAGAATCTCATGGGCCAACATGCAGTGGCTGTGGGATCCTGAGAGTTGTAGCCAAAGTAACTTCCCCAAGCTGTTACAACGCCCTTGAAGAATAGAGAGGCGCCTGCAGGTCTGGAATGAGAGGGCTGGCGATTCTACCCTTGACCACTTGACCAAGTTCCTTCCTGGAATAAGAGGGCTAGGGCCGACGTCAATGGATCTTTATATCACAGCAACAAATGCTGTATTTATTTGTTCTATAGTAGGTTGCTCCCTTGTTTGGATGGCTCTGGATTCCCTTGCATATCTATTAAAAGAAAAAAAACCACATACACACAAATGGTGTCGTTTTCATGATCTTTTTCTCTAAGGCTCTTTCTGGCATCAATTTAACAATATAATTCACAGTATCTTTTGGAGGGAGATGTTGTTATCAGGACTGGCTACTAAAGGGAGCCAGAGATCATGCTATGTATAGTGTCACTGTTATAATAGTGTTTACTATTATCCGCTGTTTTCAGCATCCGCATGGGGGCTTGGAACTGATCCCCCACGGATACAGGGATCCTCCTGTCTGATGAGATGTAAGATGCCAGAGATGATGCAATCCATGTAGAGTAGACCATTGGTCTAGATGGGCGGGGTATACATCTAATAAAATAAATAAATATGAAGGTACTTCATCTCAAGATTCAAGGCAGGGAGGGTTGGAATTCCGATCTCTTTGTTCCGGATCGAACAGACGTTCTTGCCCTCCACCTTGACTCCCAAGTGGAAGGCTCGCTTCTTCCTTCCAGCTGGTTTGCTAGCGCCAGAGTGGTGCTGAGCACCACAGTTCCTTCGCTAACCCTACAGGATGTTCTGGTTCTGTCCTCTGGAGACCAGAACCGAAGGCTCTGCCACCAAGGTTTTCATTTCTCCTCCTGTCATCTAATTACAGCCTAAGCTAATAAAAGCTCATTAGCCACTCACCAATTCCTGGGGCTGTTTATTCCACCATGAGCAGCAGCTGCTAATGAGCATTTGCACAACACATCAAAGCGAGGTGATTAATGACACGTTTCCTACTGACATGCTTAGCCATCAAGAGATCTCAGCAAAAAAAAAGGAGCCTCATGGCATTGAAGCCTCTGGTGTCGGAAAACCATCCCATTTCAAGGATGCTTCTTATTAAACGCCACTCTCCAGTGGCCTAGCGCAATCCAGACCCCTTGAGCTACAGATACCATCATTCCCAGCCTTCTGCTGCCCTGTACGGGGCTGATGGGAGTCGTAATTCAAACATCCCAGTCAAAGGCTCCGATCGCAACACCACGCTGCCTCTTTGTGTCCCTGTCTCCCGCCACCACTACTGGCTAGAATGGGGTGGATCCACAGTATGGATCCACTAACTCCCAGTTAACGGCTTATCCACTACGACAACACTTCAACGGCACTGCCCTGTACACCCCTCTGCCCCAAACGAGGTTGCTGAAAAAGAGCAGTCAGGAGAAAGCAGGGGTGGATTCCCTCAAGCTTTCTGAAAAGGTGCCAGAGCTGAATTCTAGCATGCCGCACACTTTGCACCGAGCCTGCACTGGCAGCAAGCTCTTCCTTAAATTCGGAGTGCGGTCGGGGGACCCCCTGAACTGAGGCTGCAGTCACACTGGCAATGAGAACCACATTTCGGCATGATTTAAATCAGGTTTTATCACTCACGCGATGCAAGGGTGAAACGGGTTTATAGGCATTGCAAAGTGAGCTTTTTTTTCCCGAACTGGCTAGCTGGGGCTTTTCCAAATACTTCACTTCTCAAATTCAATGTGGAAATGAGTCAATTTCAGTGGGTCGACATCATAATCAGTTTTAAGTGGCCAGAAATAAATTGATTTCCATTCAGGGCATGTGATAAGCACCCACCGGTTTAAACAGCCCGAGCCTTGAACCTGATTTTTAAGACGTCTGAGCAGAAATCAATTCAAATGGCCGGTGTGACCACCTGGCGTCTTTCCTGTGGCATCCCGGGATCTGTGGTTCAGTGAGGGACCGAGAATTCAATGCTGCAGTTCCGGAGAAATGCCAAAGCCACTCCCAAACTCCAAATCCCAGACGCCCACAGGGTGAAGCCGGGGCAGTTAAGGTCACTGCCCTTGTCCAATGTTTTACCTTTGGAACCGGCAAACCAGGAGGACAGGAAAGAGGGAGCGAGAAAAGCCCTCCATATCTGGGATTGGTCCTGAACACCCCTCGGATGTTGCCGAGCCCATTCCGCCTCCTCACCTTCTTCTCTGCGCTGGGGTCCTTCTTCATCCCTTTAATGAAGTCGCTTCGGCCTTTTAAATGCTGTTCGTACTCGGTGGGGGTCATGTCGCCCTCTTCCATTAAGATGTGGGGCATATGGGGCTCTGGAAAGACAGCAGGCATTAGGGGGCAGGAAGGAAGGAAGATAGAAAGAATGAAGACAAAGGAAGGAAGGAAGGAAGGAAGGAAGGAAGGAAGGAAGGAAGGAAGGAAGGAAGGGAGGGAGGGAGGG